CACGTTACTCACGGAAGCGTCTCAGGAGCAAACCATGTGGAAATACAGGCTCTATCCTGGAATGAGCTGAAGAGTACACTGGGTAAACACTCAACACCAGGAAACACCATGTCTCTCTGCAGGATCGTGTGACAGGACATGAACACGAAGGGAAGTAAAAGGTGAAACTGATCTTAATCCGGCAACAGGCAAGCACAGCCCCCACCTGGGATGCCAAGACCGGATGGCACTATTCAGCCTCTCTTAGATCCGTCCCAGGACTCCATTCTCCTGCGGATTCTGCAGGAGGTTTCTATGATCTACCCCATGGGAAGTCGTTGGCCGTATTCAGCCTGGTTCCCAGGACCTGGCTGGGTGTGGGGGACGCTGCTCGGTACCAAGAGGACAGGCTGCCCTCAACTTCCTTGCACAAGTCATGCTGCCACCCTCTTCTCAGTGGGAGGCTCCACCCCTGCCCTTGCTAAGGTTGGTATCACCCTTCCACATCTTCCTTCGAACCGCTTACCAAAACCTGCCGCATCCTGAGCTTTGTTTTTGTGTGGTGAAGACTTCACGGGACACAGGGTGGTCCGGTCTCTGTCCCTGGCTCCTAGGGCGTCATCTCCAGGCCCTGCGAGGTGCTGTCCTGGCTGTGCTTGCCTGCGGGCTTCGGCCACTGGACTGTTAAATGATGTGATTTATGATGAGGGCTTTGGGACATGCCCTGTCGGTTCCAACCTCCAGTCTGAAGATGTTCGATGTTATCCTGAACCTCTGGGAGGGGCTAGAGGCTAAAGGTCAGCTGTGTAGATAGCAAGTGATTGAGTAGCAGCTATAACTGGAGGTCAAGGGCCAGGTGAGCTTCCGTGCTTGGCAGTATTCCATGGATGGGTGGATGGAAGGATGGATGGATGGAAGGAAGGAAGGAACGATAATTTAACTGGTGGGTGGATGGGTGGGTGGGTGGCTGGTTGCATGGATGGGTGGGTGGATTGTGCACAGTTCCTTCTTCTTCTGTCCTAGGGCAGTGGCTCCCATGTCATGGTTTGTCCTGCTCTCAGACCAGCCCTGCCTCCTGCCCTTACTGGGAAGCTTCATCAAGGCTGCAGATGCCTGCAAGCCACTGTCAGCCCAACTCAACCCACCTGCCTCCTTCCTACCCCCAACTATTCCTTTATCCCAGTTGATTTCCCATCTGACCTCATCCATAGCTGGAGCCTGGGACCTCATGGTCTCTCTTATCTCCCAGCCCCGACCCCTGCGATCCAACCAGACACCCTGGATTTAGCTCCGAGTCCTTTAACGTCCGTCACCCCCTCTCTCCATGCTCGTAGTGCCGCACCCCCTTGCTCCACACTGAGAGCCCCACAGTCCAAGGTCACTGCCAAGTATCACACCACCACCACACTCGGGACATACACCACGTGTGAAATGCACTGTCTTTACGTGACGCATCCTGCGGAATGAGCACGCACTCACCTGACTCAGCGTAGGTGTGTCATGATGGCTGATGCAGTACCCCTTACGTGGGCACTGGGGCTGTTTCCAATTTTCAGGTCTAAAATGCTGCCAGAAGCATTAATCACACTTATGCCTGCAGGGAATACATATATGTGTGGTGTATATATATTATGTGTCTGTGTATGTTGCTACACACACATACATACAACTATATATATATATATGCATAAATAATATAGCTTCATATATTCCTCTGTGGAATCATTCCATAGGATCAATTACCAGTGGTGGTATGGTTGAGTCCACAGAGAATGGGGGCATATTAAAAATGGTAATTAATAGGTCATGTGGAATTTCCTTCTGAAACTCAGACTAATTAACATACCCCAGACCAGTAGGGGGGAGTCTGTCCTTCCTTCACTGTCTCCAACTCAATGTGTCTACTTCAAAGATAGGAGCTTTTTCTTTTTTATCATGCTGTTGAGTACACAGGTACCTGTTGCATTCCAAGTTCTGGGATAATTTTCTGGTAAGACAACGAGTGGCATAGGGTGCATTTCATAAACAGGATAATGTTCTTGGAAAAGCGCTGGGCTCATGATTGTTCTGAGAAGTGATGATGGTCAAGCCACTGGCTTCAAGGCTAGACTTAGGGGGTTACCAGGGCAGGGCTCCCCACGGCAGGCTTTAAAGTGGTGTGCACGCCACCTGGTGGGAAGGAGCTGTTTTGGACAAAGGCTGGAGAGGCATAGATTTGTGAGGTAGTTGGAAGGATGGCTGGGTGGTAAGTGGATGGAAAGGCGGGTGGAGATGGGGGAGGGTGGACAGATGGGTGGGTGGGTAGGTAGATGGATGGATGAGGGGTGGATGGATGGAGGGATGGGTGGATAGCTGGGTGGGCAGATGAGTGGATGGATGGGTGGGTGGGTAGCTGGGTGGCTGAGTGGATAAGTAGGGAGATGGATAGATATATAGAAGATGATAGATGTAGACGGATGATGGATGGATGGATAAATACACAGGTAGGTAGATACATGCATCCATATAGGCATGCATTTATAAATCCACATGCCTCGCCAGGCATTTTTCTTGTATGATTAGGTTAATGGAGTCTCTGAATCTTGGTCAACGTGATAAAAAGCAGTGAATTGTCTGACCTGGACAGAAGTGTGCAATACAGACGGAAGCCAGAACTGGACTGGCTTTGCATTCAGAAACAACATGCCATTTGCTGGTCTCTCCGGCTGTACCACCTCATTGCATGCCTGCATGGAGCTGGCGACCTGTGTCAGCCATGATCACAGTGAGATGAGGTCGTGGTGACGTATGTAGGGATCTAATCCAACATGACAGGTTCCCTTAAAGAGCAAGAGAGAGACGTGCGGAGGTAAGTCAGATGTGTGACAGGTGGTGGAGTTGAAAGGAGGCAGAGACAGGGGTGATGTTGTGATGTGCCAGGGTGCCCCAGGAAGGTAGGCAGCCACTGGAAGCTGGGAGGGAGGCCAGGAGGACGTCCTCCCTGACGGCCTAGAAAGGCATCAACCCTGCCACCACCGTGCTCTCAGATTTCTGGCCCCCAGAAGGGTGAGAGGATAAATTTTTGTTGTTTAAGTCACCCCGCTGTGGAACTTTATTATGGCAGCCCCAGGAAATAAAGAGTGATCGTCGGAAGGTCGGTGCTTATTTACCCAAAGAGATGAAATGATTTTCTGCACGGGATTGAGGAGTTTTGCATGGTTAGTGGGGAATCTAGGATCCCTATGTCTATTCCAGATGTATGAGTTCTTGGCTGCTATGTAACAAAGTACTACCAACTTGGTGGCTGTGAACGGCACACATTTATCATCTCACAGTTTGTGTTAAGTCAGGAGTCCAGGATGTACCAAATGGGTCTTCTGCTCAAGAACTCACCAGGCCCCTTTTAAGGTGCCAGCCAGTGGTGAAGGTCTCATTTGAGACTCCAGGCTGTCTTCCAAGCTCAGAGAATTCCCACTTCTCTGTGGCTGGAGCATGGAGACCTTCATCTCCTGGGGGCCACCCTTTCATCTTGGCAAAGTGGTTCTTTTCCGGAAGGCTGTTCACTTTGTGACACAACCAGGCAGCTACAAATCTCTCTGCTGTGTACACGCACTTAGGTCAGGCCCACCCAGAGCATCTCCTTTTTTATTAGCTTGAGTCAATTGCTCAGGTCTTTAATTGCAATTGCAAAATTCCCTCTCCTTTGCCGTATAACCCTGGGAATCACATTCTGTCATATTCACAGCTCTGTTAACACCCAGTGAGAGTGATTGGATAGCCATACGCAGACCACCCTAAGACAAAGGATTAGGGCTGCAGATCTACATAGGGGGGGGGGCTTCGCTTTTTCTATTTCTGCAGTGCATCCAGAGGAGGGGTGTCTTGCTCAAAAATGTAAAAGGATTTTTCTTGAACATTTCCCAAAGTACCATACTCCCCTCTTAGTCTCACTGTTTCTGGAGGAGCCACTATCTCAATTCTTCATTTGCTTTGCAAATGCTTTGGGGAGCAGAGTAAAAAATGTTTCTAAATTAGACAGTTCCGCAGGGACGCAAACCCGCCATCCATATGCGATCAGCTTTGAGAACACTAAACACCTATCTCCGTGTTCCCCCCAAGGCACGAGAAGGGAAGCGAAGACAGCCAAGGTGTGTCCACAGCCACTGAGAAACCTGCCTGGGTTCCGAATGCTCCCCTTCCTTGGAGACCCTGGAGTCTCTGCTTCCTCCTTGCCAGGTGGAGATCTTGACCATGTTTGCTCTATGGGCCATGTATTAAAGGAACGTGACTCGTACCTACCAGATACCCCACAAAACACCTTTGTTTTTAAAACTCCACCTGACATCAGGGTCCCCTCACCCACCTTCACCCCGTGTTGAACAACAGAAGGTCTGTGCTCTTGTTCCGACTCCAGCTTCTCAGGTTGGGGGGCTTCTGGCATATTTGGGGCAGCGGAACATGCCTTGTGCCGCACGTGGCATAATGTGGGAGCTTAATAAATTGCAATTTGTTTGCTCCCAACTATGCAATTGTACAGAAAGTATAGTATGCATCACATGTAAAATGTATTATATCGTTACATTAAAATTTTGCCAATTCTTTAAGAACAAGTTACATCAATGTGCCATTTAAAATATAGAAAAGCAGTGTATGCATTGTGTATTTGCATATAGGTATAAGACAGCTATATTCCACAGCTAATCAATATGCAAGATAAATAAAAATAACCAAATCATAGATGAGCTATTAGATCACAGATAACGTATAATTAGGTCTTATTATTTTGCGGGCAGTAGTTATGGTAACTACAGGCGCAAAAGCCGCCCGGGCCCTCCGTGGCCGTAGGCGGAGCTGCGCACGAACAGCCCCAGGTGGGGCCTCCGCGGGGTGCGGGGTAAGGTGGACGCCAGCGCACGCGCAGTACAAATCCCGGCCCCCCGGAAGTCCCGCCTTCGAGGGCGGGGCCTAGCCGGCCGGAGAAACCTGAGGCCGCCGCGCGGCGGCTTTCGCGAGCCCGGGCGCCGGAAGCGGAAATACGTCATAGGGACGGGCGGCGGCGGGTAGTGTCTGGGGCCCCTCCCGCGGACGGTGTTGGCGCCGGACTGCGAGGCCGCACCTGCCGTGGTCGTCGGAGGAGGGCGGCCAGCTCGGGCCAGGGCGGCGGCGGCGGCGGCGGCCGGGGGGCGCAGGCGGAGCCCCGCGCCGGTGAGCCGACAGGCGACCGCGTCCCTCCGCGAGCCGTGGCTTCCGGGGCCCGGGGGGGCGCGGGGCTGGGCGTCTGGCCGACTGGGGGCCAGAAGTTGCAAGGGCTGGAGTGTCTGGGAGCCGGAGGACACCTGGGGCCAGGGGTCGCAAGGGCTGGGGAAACCGGGAAGCCGGGAGATACCGGGGCCAGGGGCTGTAAAGGCCGGGGGTACTCAGGCCCGGGGGCTGCAAGGACTGGGGTACTGGGGGGTCGAGGAGTTGCAAGGTCCAGGGAACTGCAGGGACTAGGACCCGGGGGATATTGGGATGGGGGTTCCTGGAAGCCAGGGCCTGCCAGGGTGTGGGGTGGCGGAGGCTGGGGGCGCGCAGCCTTGGCGACCCGGGGTGGCCTCATGTACTGGGCGGTGCCAGGGAGGCCGGGGTGCAGGAGCGGGAGGTAAAGGGGCGGCTATTCCAGGAAACTGGGAGGCCGTGCGTGCCCGGAGGTGCACAGAGCTACCCAAGCGGAGTGGGTGGTTGGGGGAGGTAGGGAGGCCGAAGGTGCTGCCTGGGGTATCAGGGCAGCCGAAGGGATGGGGGTTGTGCTGTGGAAATGGGGGTAGCCAGGTGACCAGGGTGGGCAGCCAGGTCTCTGGCTCGGCCTCCCCTCGCGGCCCTTGGCGTCCTGGGGGCAGGGCTGTGGTCTCAGCCGGGCGGCAGCCCCTCGCAAGCACCCTGCACCCGCACAGGTGGCTCCTGCATCCCGCTGGGACCGTCCTGCCCTGGGGCCCCTCCCCTGGCTGCCTTCTGGCAGGAAAAGCCTGTGAGCAGAGCTGGGGGCGGCTTATTTGGGCTTCTGCGGGTCAGGTTCTTCGCAGGAGCTTAGCTTTCTGGAAGTTCCGGCTTCTCAGACCAGGAAGACCTGCCGGCATGAAGGCAGGTGGGGGAGGAACAGGGCCAAGGGGCTGGAGCTCCCGTCGAGGGAAGGCCCTTGTATGTTTAACTTGGTCACCCTGGGTTATTTATTGGTTGTTTTCAGCCCAGACGACCTTCCTGGTTTTTTTTTTTTTCAGGGCCTCCTCCTCACCGCGTCGCAGAAGCCCTTTCCTGCCCTGTCCCTTCCCCAGCGGGGCCTCCACGGCCTCCCGGGAGCTGTGCGGGCTGCCTCGCCTCTCCCCACTGTACCTACCGGGGTAGGAAGCCAGCCCAGCCCTGCTCCTGCTGCAAGGGCCAGGGGAGAGCCGCTTCTGGGCACTGGGTGTAGGTCTGAGCTGACGCAGGCTTGGCCTTAAGCTGTTCTTAAAAGCTTTCGTCAGCCCCGTTTTTTTCCCCCTTTCCTGTGATTAAGAAGAAAAACAAACTCTCAGGTGACGATGGCTTCTCATGAGGTGGAGAGCAGCTTCTAGCTTCTGTGACGTGGCAGAGAGGCAGCCTCGTTTCCCATCCCTGGCCCCCTCCCGACCCCGACTGTGTGCCTTTGTTGCAGGCCCCACGTGCCGGCTATGGCCGCGGCCACCATAGTCCACGACACGTCTGAGGCGGTGGAGCTGTGCCGGCCCTACGGCCTCTACCTGAAGCCCATCACCAAGATGACCATCAGCGTGGCCCTCCCGCAGCTGAAGCAGCCGGGCAAGTCCATCTCCAACTGGGAGGTGATGGAGCGGCTCAAGGGCATGGTGCACAACCACCAGTTCTCCACGCTGCGCATCTCCAAGAGCACCATGGACTTCATCCGCTTCGAGGGCGAGGTGGAGAACAAGAGCTTGGTCAAGTCCTTCCTGGCCTGCCTGGACGGCAAGACCATCAAGCTGAGCGGCTTCTCCGACATCCTCAAGGTGCGCGCTGCCGAGTTCAAGATCGACTTCCCCACGCGGCACGACTGGGACTCCTTCTTTCGCGACGCCAAGGACATGAACGAGACGCTGCCCGGGGAGCGGCCGGACACCATCCACCTGGAGGGGCTGCCCTGCAAGTGGTTCGCGCTCCGGGAGTCGGGCTCCGAGAAGCCCAGCGAGGAGGTCCTGCTCAAGGTGTTCGAGAAGTTCGGTGAGATCCGGAACGTGGACATCCCCATGCTGGACCCCTACCGCGAGGAGATGACCGGGCGCAACTTCCACACCTTCAGCTTCGGCGGGCACCTGAACTTCGAGGCATACGTGCAGTACTGCGAGTACGCGGGCTTCATCCAGGCCATGAGTGCCCTGCGGGGCATGAAGCTCCTGTACAAGGGCGAGGACGGCAAGGCAGTGGCCTGCAACATCAAGGTGAGCCCGGGCCCGGCCTGTGTCGGCATTGGGGTGGGCCCCCCGCAGGCCCTGGCAGCCGCCCACGGCTGCAGTTGCAATAGGCCTGTGCCTAGGATTTCAGATGCAGATGTAGAGAATCAGGCCACCCTTTGGCTTTTACAAAATCTGTTTCTTAGGGACACATCACAGGACCCAAGTATTTTGATATAGTGGGGAAGGCGATGGCCAGGGCCACTTCCATGTGAACTTCAGCTGTGTCCAGGCCAAGAGAACGTCCTTCCGTGAGGGCTCAGTCTGTCTGGCTGGGTGGGCTCTGATTTGGGGTGGCTTTGTGGTGACAAGGGAGCCAGGTTTTTGTGGCAGGACCCGCTTGCAGCCCTGGTTAGTGTAGGGCAGGCAGACGCCCTGTGCGGCAAGGTTGAGGGGGTGGGTCACGGAATGGGGGGGGCCCCTGCTTGCAGGAGGGAACGTGTCTTCTGAGAGGGCTGGCTTGCATCCTTGAAAGGGTGAGGCCAATGAAGCCTGGTGGCGGTTCCTGCTCCCTGGGGAGGCACTGGCACTGCTGAAGGGGTGGCAGGGGAGGAGAGGACGCTCAGTGCCAAGCACCTGAGTGCCGGGGCCTCCGTGGGTCTGCGGGGTTGGCCCTGGCCGGTGGATAGTCCCCAGAATGCCTGCGAGGTGGGTGGGGAGCCTGCTGTGTGTGGGACGGTGCCCAGGTGACACCTGTTGCTCCGCTTTGCTCTCGAAGGTGTCTTTTGATGCGACCAAACACCTGAGTGATGCCTCGATTAAGAAGCGGCAGCTGGAGAGGCAGAAACTGCAGGAGCTGGAGCAGCAGCGAGAGCTGCAGAAGCGGCGGGAGAAGGAGGCCGAGGAGCGGCAGCGTGCAGAGGAGAGGTGTGCCCGTGTGTGCACGTGTGCGTTTGCAGCCATCAGTGTCTGCACGTGTATGCGTCTGAGGGTGTCTGCATTGGTGTGTGTGTGCATCTGCCTGTGGCTGTGCACGTGTGTGCATCTCTGTGTCTGCGTGTGCTTGTTCTTGTGCATCCACATGTGCCATCTGTGTGCACCCTGCTGGTCTCAGGGAGCCCTCTTTGCAACGTGGCGTGTGCAGGGGGCCTGGCCTTCCTTCCCGCCGAGCCTCCCCGTGGGCACCGTCCTCGTGTCCTGCACACACAGTGGGCGTCTGGCCGTCCTGCGGGTTGGCACTGAGGCAGAGGCCATGCTGACAGGGAAGCAGAGCGCAGTTGGCAGCCAGGCTTTATATGAAAGGGTGGTGCTCGGGCTGCCTTCCGTGGCAGCACACACCCCAGAGGCTGACACAGCCGTGGTTTTTCCCTTTATCATAGTTGGTCTTTTGGTGTCACAAATATGACTTAGGCAACGACACAACCTAAGTTTTAGCAAATGAGAAACTGTCCGTGGTCTGCGTACTGCTGTGGTCAGGGGTCCTGCTGGCGTGTGCCTGTGTCCCACACGCGTTTCTGTCCTGCCATCTTGTGAACGTTAGGCGTATTGGAGTTAGTGGATTCGCCCCATGCAGTCTCTGTCCTGCATATGGATGTAACCATGTCCCCTGCTTGGGGCACGTGTCTGCTTGGCCCAATTCACCGCCGCAGTAATGGCCCCATGCAGCTGTGTCTGCAGCTGGTGGCCTGGATCTCCACCCCATGGGCCGATGCCTGGGCAGTGGTCCCAACCACGCTTGGCCTAGTCCCACATTGCTCCCAGAGTCTGCTTGCTGGCTGGGAGAGGACCGGGCAGTGGTGTGTGTACAGGTGGATGTAGATGGGGGAGAGGAGCCTGCAGGAGCGCCAGGACGTGGCAGGTGCTGGGCACAGAGCCGCCCTCTGATGGGGCAGCACATGGGAGGCCCATGTGGACTCGGTAGGGCCCGGGCCTTTGTGGACTTTGGAGGGCTCCAGGTGGGCGAAGGGGGGTGGTGACGACTCCTGAGGGGCTCAGAAGGGGCTGGTGTAGGTTCCAGGGATTCCATACGGGCATGGCAGGAGCTGGAGGACTTCCTGGGGGGCTGTCTGTGGGCTCCAGGGTTCAGGTGGGGTCTATGAGGACTTGGGAGCAGTGTGTGTGGGCTGGAGGCGTGCTGTGATGACTCAGGGGGGCCCACATGGTCTGCAGGTTCAGGAGGAGCCTGTGAGGACTCAGGAGGTCCCCCTTGTGGACTCAGGTCCTGTGTGGACATGGGGGTTCGCCAGTGGGCTCGGGAGGGCCCCTGAGGCTTTATGCCATGTGGAAAGTGCCCATGTTGGCAGCTCCCAGCCCACCCAGGATGAGCAGTGGCTGGAGGCTCAGTCTGTGGACACTGCTGTGTGCAGCCCAGCCGGCCCTGGTCGGGGGGGGCCCTGTCCTGCACTGTGACCCGCAGTCCCAGCATCAGTCTTGCAGAGCTGTCCCCACAGAACATCGGAGCAGCTATGAGGCTTTGTTCATGGACGCAGGAAAGGTCAAGCGTCCTTGTTCCTTGGGGTAGGAAGACCATGCCTGTGGCCTTTGAGACTGGGAGGCGTGGGAAAGATGGGCTCCCTGACCTGGGCGGGGGCCCCAGAGTGTTGAGGGGCAGGCCTGTGACAGATGCTGCCTGCGGTGGGAGCCAGGTTGGCCCCAGAGCCCGCTGCCCTTGGTGGCCTGAGTCTGCCTGCAGTGAGCCAGCCCAGCGTCCCCGAGGCTGGAGTGTGAGCCTCGGGCCTTGGGCTGCAGTAGGGAACAGCTTGCACGTGGCCTTCACGTCCGTGGATGGTCAGCTGCTCCTGCGGGTCCTGCCGGGCTGCGTTCCATTGAGATGTGTGTGTCTGGAAGCCTGGGGCCTGGGCGCCTGCCAGGGGCCCGTTGGTGCGCCGCTTTGTGGCCTGTGGCTCCTTGTGGCTCGGTCAGCCCGGCCCCCTCTGCGTGGTCCTGTTTGGCCCCAGGGGGCACCGGGTTTCCGAGTCCCTGCTCTGGGCTTCCGGTGCCTCTGCAGGGAGGCTCGGGCTCTCCGCAGCCCGCTGACCCCCTGGGGCTTTGGGAGTCGTCTCAGCACTGAAACCTGTCTGGGGGTCCCTGTCTGCCCGCTGTGTCCTGTAGGCCCCTGCCCAGGCTGCAGGGGGAGGTCTTGGGCTGCCCCTGTCACCACGTGGGGTTCCCCTGAGACAGGCTTTTCCTCCTGGGCGGGCAGAGCTCTGCGTGACTGGCATCCCATGGCTGTGGGGCACCAGTAGGTGGAACCTGGTTCAGAACCCAGCCTGCTGCCGTCAGCCAGCCTCCTCCAGGGGCTCGCGTTCGGGATACCCCTTGGCAGGCACCCCCGGAAAGATCCAGAAACCCTCACCCTCGTGGACACGCGTTCCTCGGATTCCACCGAAGTCTGCTTTGGGATGAGCCAAAGTGCGCGGTGCGGGCAGGCCTGCTGCCCACCCCCCACGTCCCGGGCCCTGCCGCCCTGGCCTCACGGCGCCCTGTGCGCGTTTTGCGCAGGAAGCAGAAGGAGCTGGAGGAGCTGGAGCGCGAGCGGAAGCGCGAGGAGAAGGTGCGCCGGAGGGAGCAGAGGCAGCGGGACCGCGCGCTGCGGCGGAGCCAGCGGAAGCTGGAGCGGCTGCAGGCCGAGGAGCAGAAGCAGCTGCACGAGAAGATCCGGTTGGAGGAGCGGAAGCTGGTGCTGTCGCAGCGCAACCTGCAGTCCATCCGGCTCGTGGCGGAGCTGCTGAGCCGGGCCAAGGTACCTGCCGCACCGCGCGCCCCCGTGGCCGTGCGCGCGCTCTGCCCGGCGGTCCCGCCCATCCGCCGCCGGTTGCTGCCGGAGCCCAGGGCGGGACTGCCTCCTGGCGGGGCGTCGCGTGTCCGCGTCCGGGGCTCTGCGCACTCCTTGCCAACACGCAGGGGCCGGCTAACTGCGCAGGCGTGCCCAGGGCTGCCCTCAGCCGTCCAGGGGCCGGGATCGGGGCTGCCAGTCCCGGAGCCACGAGGGCGAGCTCGCCACGGGGCCTGGGCCCGGGACTCGACTCCCGCCGCAGATGCGTGGCCTGGCCAGCCAGCCTTGCTCTGACCCGGGCCAGCCAGCGGCCGCGGCAGCAGGACGAGGGCCGAGCCTGACGGGTGCAGGGGTTCCTGCGGGTTCAGCGGTGGCCCGGGAAAGCCCGTGTGCCCCAGAGCCGGGAGCGCTGCCTCCGCAGCCACAGGCATTGTCAGCCGTGCGCCCCGGTGCCCCTCCCGGAGGCCACTGGCACTCCCGCCAGCCGGGTCGAGGACACGTGGATGGACATGGCCGGAGCTCCTGCTCAGGGGGCCGCGCGCCCCGCCATCTGGCGTGGCGTGACCCCATAACCTGTTGTCTACTTACAGTTGTGATAAGTCCCGGGAAGGAGAATGGCAGGCGTGCTGAGACAGGTGGCCGCTCAGCTCTTGTTCCATGGTGAATATTGAAGACACTAACCCAGGCTAGGCCACCACGTCCTGCGGCGGCCACGGCAGCGTTTGTCCGCGCCGTAATCTCAGCTCCCTGCCGCTGGTGACTGCTTGGGACCCTCCCGCAGGCCCCGCGGCACCTGGAGGGCCCGGCCCGCCCGGGACGCCCGCCCAGGCCCGGCCGGGCAGCTTTGTGCGGGGGCTCCTCGCTCGCTCCGACGTGTGGCGGCCCCGGGCATGCAGGGCCGGGCGGGCCGGGTCCTGCCAGGACCTCTGGCCGTAGCCCCGGCTGTGGGGCGCCGCAGAGCCCGGCGCCGCCTCGGAGTGTCTGGTGGGGCGCAGGTGGGGCTCAGGTGCGCGCCCCTTTGTCCCGTAGGCGGCCAAGGCCCAGGAGCAGGAGCAGAAGGAGGCGTCGCTGCGCCTGCAGCAGCTGGAGGAGCGGCGGCGGCTGCAGGAGGCAGAGCTGCGGCGCGTGGAGGAGGAGAAGGAACGGGCGCTGGGGCTGCAGCGCAAGGAGAAGGAGCTGCGCGCACGGCTGCTGAGCATCCTGCTGAGCAAGAGGGCCGACGACCCCCGCACGCACGACGAGCTCGCGGCGGCGCACGCAGGCCTCCTGCAGCCTGTGCTGGACATCCTGCAGACCGTGTCGGCCAGCTGCGTGGGCGCCGCCGTGCTGCCGTCTGTCGCGGGCCCGCCGCCCCAGCCGGAGAGCAGCCGCGCAGCCAGCGGCGTGAACGGGCGCGTGGCCGAGGAGGCCCCGGTCACGCAGGCGCAGGAGCCGCGCCACGCCGCCTCCCCCGAGAAGCGGTGCCCGGCCGTGCTTGCCTGCATTCCCGACAACCAGCAGCAGCCCGCGGGCCCGCCCGCCGCCAGCGAGCAGAGCGCGCCCAGGAAGGACGCGCGTTCCGAGCAAGACAAGTGCAACCGGGAGCCCAGCGGGGGTCGCGGCCGCGCCAGCAGGGAGCGCAGCGCCGACGACGGGCCCCGGGAGGCGAGCCGGCCGCGGGCGGGCAGTGCGGAGCGCGGGCGGCGGGAGCGGCGCGCGCACAGGAAGCGGGCGCACGAGGACGCCAGCCCCCGCCGGCGCAGCGGCAGCCCGGAGCGCTCGCGCTCGCGGAGGTCGCGCAGTGGAGACCGGCACGGCCGGAGGGACCGGAGCCGGGGCCGCAGAGGCGGCTCGGGCCGCAAGCGTAGCCGCCAGCGGCGCGGCGAGCGGTCGCGCTCAGGGTCCACCGGCCGCCACCGCAGCACCTGGAACAGGTAATGCCGGGGCCAGCGCAGATCTGGACCCTGCAGGCCCAGCCGCCGGCGCTAGGAACCCGCGCACTGCCGCCCTCTGGGGGCCGCGGCCGCTGGCTTTGCTTTACCCAGAAAACTGTTGACGGACAGCTTTACTCGCACCGCCCTCCCTGTAAGTCAGGAGGCCGCGCCGGGGGTGGCGGATCCAGGCTGCCCCGCGCCGCAGCCGAGCATCTGAACGCCGAGGCGCCCCCCTGCCGTCAGCCTGGCCGCACGTGCCCACGGCGGCGGGGGAGGCCCTGTTCCTGGCCCCTTTGCTCTCCCCGTTCTGTAACTTGCACCGGCTGGGAAGCACGTTCTGGTTTGGGACGCGGAAGGAGCAGAGGGGTCAGGCTCCTTGTGTCCTCAGTGAAGGAGGCCCACATCCCGCTGGCAGTGACCCAAGGTGCCGTCACTGGGCCCAGGGTGCAGGGCTGGACGCCCCCTCACCTTCAGAAACGTTCACTTCTCACGAATTCAAGCAATTCGGTATAAAAACGGGTGAAAAGCTTTGGTTCCTAGTCAAGGGTAGCGTGTATATAGTTTTTTTAAAGAGCTGTTTTGCTAAGTTATTTTTACTTGGATCATCTTGTGAACGTTAGGCGTATTGGAGTTAGTGGATTCGCCCCATGCAGTCTCTGTCCTGCATATGGATGTAACCATGTCCCCTGCTTGGGGCACGTGTCTGCTTGGCCCAATTCACCGCCGCAGTAATGGCCCCGTGCAGCTGTGTCTGCAGCTGGTGGCCTGGATCTCCACCCCATGGGCCGATGCCTGGGCAGTGGTCCCAACCACGCTTGGCCTAGTCCCACATTGCTCCCAGAGTCTGCTTGCTGGCTGGGAGAGGACCGGGCAGTGGTGTGTGTACAGGTGGATGTAGATGGGGGAGAGGAGCCTGCAGGAGCGCCAGGACGTGGCAGGTGCTGGGCACAGAGCCGCCCTCTGATGGGGCAGCACATGGGAGGCCCATGTGGACTCGGTAGGGCCCGGGCCTTTGTGGACTTTGGAGGGCTCCAGGTGGGCGAAGGGGGGTGGTGACGACTCCTGAGGGGCTCAGAAGGGGCTGGTGTAGGTTCCAGGGATTCCATACGGGCATGGCAGGAGCTGGAGGACTTCCTGGGGGGCTGTCTGTGGGCTCCAGGGTTCAGGTGGGGTCTATGAGGACTTGGGAGCAGTGTGTGTGGGCTGGAGGCGTGCTGTGATGACTCAGGGGGGCCCACATGGTCTGCAGGTTCAGGAGGAGCCTGTGAGGACTCAGGAGGTCCCCCTTGTGGACTCAGGTCCTGTGTGGACATGGGGGTTCGCCAGTGGGCTCGGGAGGGCCCCTGAGGCTTTATGCCATGTGGAAAGTGCCCATGTTGGCAGCTCCCAGCCCACCCAGGATGAGCAGTGGCTGGAGGCTCAGTCTGTGGACACTGCTGTGTGCAGCCCAGCCGGCCCTGGTCGGGGGGGGCCCTGTCCTGCACTGTGACCCGCAGTCCCAGCATCAGTCTTGCAGAGCTGTCCCCACAGAACATCGGAGCAGCTATGAGGCTTTGTTCATGGACGCAGGAAAGGTCAAGCGTCCTTGTTCCTTGGGGTAGGAAGACCATGCCTGTGGCCTTTGAGACTGGGAGGCGTGGGAAAGATGGGCTCCCTGACCTGGGCGGGGGCCCCAGAGTGTTGAGGGGCAGGCCTGTGACAGATGCTGCCTGCGGTGGGAGCCAGGTTGGCCCCAGAGCCCGCTGCCCTTGGTGGCCTGAGTCTGCCTGCAGTGAGCCAGCCCAGCGTCCCCGAGGCTGGAGTGTGAGCCTCGGGCCTTGGGCTGCAGTAGGGAACAGCTTGCACGTGGCCTTCACGTCCGTGGATGGTCAGCTGCTCCTGCGGGTCCTGCCGGGCTGCGTTCCATTGAGATGTGTGTGTCTGGAAGCCTGGGGCCTGGGCGCCTGCCAGGGGCCCGTTGGTGCGCCGCTTTGTGGCCTGTGGCTCCTTGTGGCTCGGTCAGCCCGGCCCCCTCTGCGTGGTCCTGTTTGGCCCCAGGGGGCACCGGGTTTCCGAGTCCCTGCTCTGGGCTTCCGGTGCCTCTGCAGGGAGGCTCGGGCTCTCCGCAGCCCGCTGACCCCCTGGGGCTTTGGGAGTCGTCTCAGCACTGAAACCTGTCTGGGGGTCCCTGTCTGCCCGCTGTGTCCTGTAGGCCCCTGCCCAGGCTGCAGGGGGAGGTCTTGGGCTGCCCCTGTCACCACGTGGGGTTCCCCTGAGACAGGCTTTTCCTCCTGGGCGGGCAGAGCTCTGCGTGACTGGCATCCCATGGCTGTGGGGCACCAGTAGGTGGAACCTGGTTCAGAACCCAGCCTGCTGCCGTCAGCCAGCCTCCTCCAGGGGCTCGCGTTCGGGATACCCCTTGGCAGGCACCCCCGGAAAGATCCAGAAACCCTCACCCTCGTGGACACGCGTTCCTCGGATTCCACCGAAGTCTGCTTTGGGATGAGCCAAAGTGCGCGGTGCGGGCAGGCCTGCTGCCCACCCCCCACGTCCCGGGCCCTGCCGCCCTGGCCTCACGGCGCCCTGTGCGCGTTTTGCGCAGGAAGCAGAAGGAGCTGGAGGAGCTGGAGCGCGAGCGGAAGCGCGAGGAGAAGGTGCGCCGGAGGGAGCAGAGGCAGCGGGACCGCGCGCTGCGGCGGAGCCAGCGGAAGCTGGAGCGGCTGCAGGCCGAGGAGCAGAAGCAGCTGCACGAGAAGATCCGGTTGGAGGAGCGGAAGCTGGTGCTGTCGCAGCGCAACCTGCAGTCCATCCGGCTCGTGGCGGAGCTGCTGAGCCGGGCCAAGGTACCTGCCGCACCGCGCGCCCCCGTGGCCGTGCGCGCGCTCTGCCCGGCGGTCCCGCCCATCCGCCGCCGGTTGCTGCCGGAGCCCAGGGCGGGACTGCCTCCTGGCGGGGCGTCGCGTGTCCGCGTCCGGGGCTCTGCGCACTCCTTGCCAACACGCAGGGGCCGGCTAACTGCGCAGGCGTGCCCAGGGCTGCCCTCAGCCGTCCAGGGGCCGGGATCGGGGCTGCCAGTCCCGGAGCCACGAGGGCGAGCTCGCCACGGGGCCTGGGCCCGGGACTCGACTCCCGCCGCAGATGCGTGGCCTGGCCAGCCAGCCTTGCTCTGACCCGGGCCAGCCAGCGGCCGCGGCAGCAGGACGAGGGCCGAGCCTGACGGGTGCAGGGGTTCCTGCGGGTTCAGCGGTGGCCCGGGAAAGCCCGTGTGCCCCAGAGCCGGGAGCGCTGCCTCCGCAGCCACAGGCATTGTCAGCCGTGCGCCCCGGTGCCCCTCCCGGAGGCCACTGGCACTCCCGCCAGCCGGGTCGAGGACACGTGGATGGACATGGCCGGAGCTCCTGCTCAGGGGGCCGCGCGCCCCGCCATCTGGCGTGGCGTGACCCCATAACCTGTTGTCTACTTACAGTTGTGATAAGTCCCGGGAAGGAGAATGGCAGGCGTGCTGAGACAGGTGGCCGCTCAGCTCTTGTTCCATGGTGAATATTGAAGACACTAACCCAGGCTAGGCCACCACGTCCTGCGGCGGCCACGGCAGCGTTTGTCCGCGCCGTAATCTCAGCTCCCTGCCGCTGGTGACTGCTTGGGACCCTCCCGCAGGCCCCGCGGCACCTGGAGGGCCCGGCCCGCCCGGGACGCCCGCCCAGGCCCGGCCGGGCAGCTTTGTGCGGGGGCTCCTCGCTCGCTCCGACGTGTGGCGGCCCCGGGCATGCAGGGCCGGGCGGGCCGGGTCCTGCCAGGACCTCTGGCCGTAGCCCCGGCTGTGGGGCGCCGCAGAGCCCGGCGCCGCCTCGGAGTGTCTGGTGGGGCGCAGGTGGGGCTCAGGTGCGCGCCCCTTTGTCCCGTAGGCGGCCAAGGCCCAGGAGCAGGAGCAGAAGGAGGCGTCGCTGCGCCTGCAGCAGCTGGAGGAGCGGCGGCGGCTGCAGGAGGCAGAGCTGCGGCGCGTGGAGGAGGAGAAGGAACGGGCGCTGGGGCTGCAGCGCAAGGAGAAGGAGCTGCGCGCACGGCTGCTGAGCATCCTGCTGAGCAAGAGGGCCGACGACCCCCGCACGCACGACGAGCTCGCGGCGGCGCACGCAGGCCTCCTGCAGCCTGTGCTGGACATCCTGCAGACCGTGTCGGCCAGCTGCGTGGGCGCCGCCGTGCTGCCGTCTGTCGCGGGCCCGCCGCCCCAGCCGGAGAGCAGCCGCGCAGCCAGCGGCGTGAACGGGCGCGTGGCCGAGGAGGCCCCGGTCACGCAGGCGCAGGAGCCGCGCCACGCCGCCTCCCCCGAGAAGCGGTGCCCGGCCGTGCTTGCCTGCATTCCCGACAACCAGCAGCAGCCCGCGGGCCCGCCCGCCGCCAGCGAGCAGAGCGCGCCCAGGAAGGACGCGCGTTCCGAGCAAGACAAGTGCAACCGGGAGCCCAGCGGGGGTCGCGGCCGCGCCAGCAGGGAGCGCAGCGCCGACGACGGGCCCCGGGAGGCGAGCCGGCCGCGGGCGGGCAGTGCGGAGCGCGGGCGGCGGGAGCGGCGCGCGCACAGGAAGCGGGCGCACGAGGACGCCAGCCCCCGCCGGCGCAGCGGCAGCCCGGAGCGCTCGCGCTCGCGGAGGTCGCGCAGTGGAGACCGGCACGGCCGGAGGGACCGGAGCCGGGGCCGCAGAGGCGGCTCGGGCCGCAAGCGTAGCCGCCAGCGGCGCGGCGAGCGGTCGCGCTCAGGGTCCACCGGCCGCCACCGCAGCACCTGGAACAGGTAATGCCGGGGCCAGCGCAGATCTGGACCCTGCAGGCCCAGCCGCCGGCGCTAGGAACCCGCGCACTGCCGCCCTCTGGGGGCCGCGGCCGCTGGCTTTGCTTTACCCAGAAAACTGTTGACGGACAGCTTTACTCGCACCGCCCTCCCTGTAAGTCAGGAGGCCGCGCCGGGGGTGGCGGATCCAGGCTGCCCCGCGCCGCAGCCGAGCATCTGAACGCCGAGGCGCCCCCCTGCCGTCAGCCTGGCCGCACGTGCCCACGGCGGCGGGGGAGGCCCTGTTCCTGGCCCCTTTGCTCTCCCCGTTCTGTAACTTGCACCGGCTGGGAAGCACGTTCTGGTTTGGGACGCGGAAGGAGCAGAGGGGTCAGGCTCCTTGTGTCCTCAGTGAAGGAGGCCCACATCCCGCTGGCAGTGACCCAAGGTGCCGTCACTGGGCCCAGGGTGCAGGGCTGGACGCCCCCTCACCTTCAGAAACGTTCACTTCTCACGAATTCAAGCAATTCGGTATAAAAACGGGTGAAAAGCTTTGGTTCCTAGTCAAGGGTAGCGTGTATATAGTTTTTTTAAAGAGCTGTTTTGCTAAGTTATTTTTACTTGGAACGTTTCAAAAGGGATTTCAGGCTGCACACTTGTTAAATTTTATAATTAATTGCTTTTCCAAGCAAAGCTCAGAAGTCCTTAAAAGTAGTTGTAACGTTCACGTTAGGAAAGGTGGTGTTCATTCCAGGTTGCATTTTTATGGTGAAATAAAACCCTTTTCCAATGAACACACGTTCCCATAGTTGTGTGTCTTACGGTTTTGGGGCTGCGTCAGCGAGTGGAACCTGGCAGAGAGGATTTGGAGTGGGTGGAAATTATTTGCTTCCCCCAGAATTGCTGCTTTGCACGGCGTGTTTCAGGCTGGGGAATCCGAGCAGATGTGGCTCCCCAGAGGCGGCCCACGTGTTCATGGGGCACCCCCTCTTCACGAGGTCACAAGGTCTCTAGTCCATGCAAACCTAAAGGGCCGACTCAAAGGGGAATCACTTGTTTCCTGCCCGGGGGTGGGGTGGCTGTGGCCCGCGGCCCGGCCAGACCCAGGTGTGTGACCTCCTGTCCATCTACAGTTCCTGATCTGTCGGTGTGTGGGGGCCGGTCTGGGGCCTCCCACCCGGCTCGCAGCACCACGGGGCCCGGGGCCCCCCTCGCTGTGCATGGCTTCTGTCCCGCCCCCAGCTGAGCTGTGGGCCCCTGCGTGTGCTCTGACCCCCGGGGTTAGGAAAGGCCCTCCATCCTGTGCAGCCACACCAGGGTACCCGCTGCCCAGCCCTGAGCGTCTGAGCTGTTGGCAGCATACAAAGTCCCTGGGACCGGGTGTCACCCAGGGTCTGGGGGTCTGAGGTCAGGTGTCCTCAGGTGATGTGGTCTCCGAGGTCAGAGCGTCTCTGAGGTCGGGGTCTGTGCCGTGGCCCGTGTGGTGGACATGTGTCCTGGGACCAAGGGGGTCAGCGTGGTGGCAAGCGGGAAGCTGGGATCTGTGCCCAGGGGAGCAAAGGGGAACGCAGACCACACAGTTCAGACTGCACAGCCAGGGGGGCTTCTGGCCGGGGGTGGAGATGGGGACTCAGGGAGATGGGGCAGGTGGATCTCCATGCTGGGGCAGGCCTGTGGGTCATTGGCTGTGGGGCCCGGAAAGCTGGGGACGCCACCCTAATCTACAGCACAGAGTCTGGCGGACGGAGTCAGGGTCATGCCCTGAGGTTCTCTGGTGTCCCTGGGCGTCATTCGCCGAGCTTCCCCGTGCATACCCTCAGCTCTGCCCTCTGCTGCCCGGCCTGGCTGCGGGTAGCTGTGTCCGCAGAAGCCTGAGTGTAATGCTTTTCTCCTGGGGTCTGCAGGCTTTGCCTGTGTGACAGCCACCAGGGTGTGCCCATCAGGGCTGTCACGCCTTCCTGGAGGACTAGTGCCTGCCTGTTTCTTCCTTGTGTGCACAGCCTCTTCCTCCAGGCAGCCCTTCCTGGGCCGGCGTGCAGCTGTCTGCACCTGAGGACATCACTTGCATCAGCCCACAATAGACGGCTACCGCTGCATCCTGGTGTGGGGGACCATGGGCTGAGTGTCTGTGTCCCAGAATCCACGTGTGGATCGTGACCCCCAGCGGGGTGGTGTCAGGATGGGCCCTCTCACATGTGAGGTTACGGGGTGCAACCCTCACGATGGATGAGGGCCCTTACAGGGAGACCCCCACAGAGCCCCAGTCCCTCGTCCACATGAGGACACAGTGAGGAGATGCCGGCCCTGAGCAGGAGGCCCCACCACACACCCACCTGCTGGCGCCTTGACCTGGGCCTCCCGGCCGCAGAGCCATGAGAGATCCAAGTGTGTTCTGCATAAGCCCCCAGCTTGTGCAAGTTGCCCCCAGCCTGTGGGACTCTCTCATGAGCCGGGTATCACAGGGTCACTCAGTCTAGTGCATCTGGAGCTATTGGCAGCACTGCTCTCCCCACCCTATCCTCTGCTCTTCTGCCCGGGCTGCACCCTCTCTCCCCTGCCTGCTGAGGCACCCCTGGGCGCTCTGCCTCTCCAGGCCCCCAGGTTTTATCCCCAAACAGCAGCAGGACGAAGCTGCTCAGTGTGGCAGAGCCTGCGCCCCTGTAGGCACAGCCCGGCTCACAGCCTCTCTGCAGCTCTAGGGCCTTGGCACCTGCCACCCGTCCTGTGGGGCTGCTCTTCCCTGGGTCACCGCATGCTCTCCCGGGAGACAGGTGTGGAGGTCTCCCTGACACAGTCAGAAACAACAGCACCCCTCCCCCAGTGCAGCCCCAACCTCCTCCGCAAGCACTTGGTCACCGTCGTGACCGTTATTCCCTCTCATGTCTACATGTGGCTTCTTATCTGCCTGCGGCTCTTCCTCTTGGTGAAAATTTAACTCCCAGGAAAGGGGAACCCTCCTACGCTGCTGGCGGGAATGTAAACTAGTTCAACCATTGTGGAAAGCAGTATGGAGGTTCCTCAGAATGCTCAAAATAGAAGTACCATTTGACCCAGGAATTCCACTTCTAGGAATTTACCCTAAGAATGCAGCACTCCAGTTTGAAAAAGACAGATGCACCCCTATTGTTATCGCTGCACTGTTTACAATAGCCAAGATACGGAAGCAACCTAAGTGTCCATCAGTAGATGAATGGATAAAGAAGATGTGGTACATATACACAATGGAACTTTACGCAGCCATAAAAGAAAAAAACAGATCCTACCATTCGCAACAACATGGATGGAGCCAGAGGGTATTATGCTCAGTGAAATAAGCCAAGCGGAGAAGGACAAGTACCAAGTGATTTCACTCATATGTGGAGTATAAGAACAAAGGAAAACTGAAGGAACAAAACAGCAGCAGAATCACAGAACCCAGGAATGGACCAGTAGTTATCAAAGGGAAAGGGACTGGGGAGGACGGGTGGGAAGGGAGGTATAAGGACGGGGAAAAAGAAAGGGGGCCTTACGATTAGCATGTATAATGTGGGGGGCATGGGGAGGGCCGTGCAACAGAGAAGACAAGTGGTGATTTTACTGCATCTTACTATGCAGATGGACAGTGACTGTGAGGGGTATGTGGGGGGGACTTGGTGAAGGGGGGAACGTAGTAAACATAATGTTCTTTCTGTAATTGTAGATTAATGATACCAAAATAAAAAAAAATGTAACTCCCAGGCAGAGGGTTCTGGCCCCCACTGGGACCCTCCTGGCCCACGACTGGCAGGCTCAGTGAGGAAAGTCCATACGTATTTTCCAATGAGGAAAAAGAAGAAAAGCACATTCTTCAGCCAAAAACGTCAGCCTTTCTGCAGTTTTAATGTGTGTTAGCAACAAATCAGTTTGAAAATAGAATGTGTGAAACTGATGTTAGAATTGTTTCTAACACACGGCCACTGGAATGGCCCTACAAACCCTACTAATAATAGGAAAGAGGTGCGGGCAAGGGCGTGCAGAGATGGGACCCCTGGGCACTGGTGGTGGGAATGTAAAGTGGTGCAGCCGCTGTGGAAAATCGGCTGGCGGTTCTTGAGGAAGTTAAACAGAATTACCCTGTGGCCTAGCTTTTTCACCCCTACGTTTACACCCACAAGAGTTGAGAACGTGTTCAGATGAAAATGTGTGCACAGATGTTGACAGCAGCATCATTCACAATGGCCATAAACGGGGAACCGGTGTCATAGATGCACATGTGGTCCATGCACACAAGGGAACATTACTCAGCCCTGAAGAGGAGGGCAGCCCTGAAAGGCACACAGCATTGATGGACCTGAGCCCGCGGTGCTCAGGGAGAGACGCAGACACACAGGGACACACGATGGGGGGGGGGGTCCATTTATAGGAAACGCCCAGAACAGGCAGATCCACAGAAAGAACTAGGATTCGTAGCTGTCGGCAGCTGGGAGGGCTGGGGAGGCCTACTCGTGGGGTGGAATGTTCTGGAACCAGAGAGAGGGGGATGGTTGTGCAACCTTGTGATTGCACTAAAAGGCCCTGAATTGTTCACTCTGAAGTGGGTAAAACGGGAAGTTCACCCTGAGAACAACCTCAGTGTGTGGTGTTCTGGCTTTTTCAGTGATTTCTCTTGGTTTCTGGAGGTGACTCACTCCAATTCCCTGTCCGCCTCGGTCTTTGATAAGCCTTGCCTGGTTCAGGGGCTGCCGTGTGGAGCCCCAAGGCTGCTCTGGGAGAAGCTGCCCGCCATCTGGGTCCCACCATGGCCAGTGTGCACGGCTCTCCAGCTCAGTGGGGTGGGAGGGTGGGGGGCAGCTGCCTCATCTCTGCTTGGCGTGTTCTGCTCACCTCCAGATCCTTTACTTTTTCCCACCTGCAAAGAACCAATTCCTGATGCATCTGGCCTTCTGAGGCTGTGGGCATTTTCCGGAGGACACTGTATGACCCTGCGCGCCAGCCCCATCAGAAATGTTCACATGTAAGGCAAATGGGTGAAGGTGTGTTTTGCAATGGAGGCAGGCAGTCCAGCAACACTGATAACGGTGCTCCACTCCCACCAGCCCTGGGGTCCTGCTCACTTGAGCCTCAGCCCCGGGGTGTTTACAGCCCATCTCCCCGAATCAGGGCTCCCGGGCCTGCCAGGGTGGGTCTTGGAGGTATCAGACTGACCCAGCTCACCCCAACTGTCCCTAAACCTTTTCCTGGGACATGTGCCGGTCACACGTGCATGGTGGGGAAGGTACTCACCCCTGCAGGGCCTTGTTCTGTGGGAACCATGGTCTTCCTCATCCGGGACCCCCTACTTTTGCATCCTGCGGGCATGCAGCACCGCGACCCTCAGAGACTTTGCCTGTGTGCTCATGCCAGTGGCCGAGAATTTTCCAATGTGAGTGCAACCAAAGCGCCCTCACCTCCTGCGTACTCAGAAGCCGAGGAAAAACTGGGATCTCCCTGTCCGCCTCCCACACGTGTGAGCTGTAACCCACATGCCCTAAAGCCCACCTGCTTCAAGCATACCATCTGGCGTGTTTTAGGACATTCAGAGCTAGGCCACCATCGCCACAGTCGGGCTCGAGAACGTTTGGCCTCCCCCAGGAGAAATCCATGAGGTAGATTCGCCTTTTAAAAACTCTGGTCATTGTGCATTGGTGTCCCCGTTCAGCCCGCCGACTGGGTTCTTCTGTGTCTGGCCTCTGTCTTCTTCTGGCACAAAGCCGACCATAGAGGGCCTGGCTGGCCAGGGGGACGCTGTTCCTGAAACCAGGTCCACTCGGTGGTGCTTGCTCGCTCAACATCTAAATTCCTTGTTTTGTTTTGTTTTTTAACTTGTTTTCAAGAAAGACTCTGTTTCTGAAAGCAGAGCCCTGGTGCCTGCCTGGAGTGGCATCCATGAGGCCCCCGTCTCCACCCTCCACCTGACTCCTGAAGTCGTCGGCTCGAGCAAGACCCCGGTGATCCGACAGCCCTATAGATCAGCGTCCGAGAGGGGCTACCTGCAGCTCCACCAGGCAAATGCCATTGACGGCCGGTCACCGTGTCCTGGGCAGCGCCGAGGTGGCTGCTGTCCCACAGAGATGAAATCAAATTAAACTGAATTCTAAGATTATTTAAAAAGGGTAAATGAAGTGAAAAAAATAAATGAATTAAAAATAAAATGAAAAAATACTTAATAAAAATAAACGTAAAAGGAGAACCCACTAATAAACTACATTGCATCAAATCAGATCTGGGGCAAGGCCCTCCTGAAGCCATGTGATGCTACGTGAACTTTGGCCCTGCACATGCTCTTTGGGGGACCACTCCTGTCTCAGAGCCCCCCACCTTGGGGCTGCAGCCACCAGCCCTGCAGAAACACATTTCTTCCTTTCGTGAGCTGTGTGAATAACCGACTTGCACCCCCCTAGGACCTTCCTGTCCTGGTTGGTTACCTGTGTCCCAGTGGGTTGGCCCAAGCAGAGGCTGGGTAGCATTTGCTGGTATGGAAAGCACAGAAGGACATCATTTGAGACAGTGTCTAAAGACCCTAAGTCACCAATGTCAGGCAAACTGTCCCCCTCTGCACTGAGCTGAATGGTGTCCCCCAAAAGACATGTCGAGGTCCTGACCCCAGATGGGGTGAAGTGAAGAATATCTGAGCTGAGGTCCCTCTAGATGAGGGTGGCCCTCCACCCAATGACAGGTGTCCTCATAAGAAACAAGAGGTGAGACACAGGCACAGAGGAGAAGCCACGTGGAGATGAAGGCAGAGAGACAGGAGGGATGTGGCTACACGCCCAGGGCCGCCTGGAGCCCCCCGAGGCTGGAAGAGGCAGGAAGGAGCCTCCCCTGGAGCCTGTGGAGGGAGCACTGCCCTGTCCTGCCTGGACCTCAGACGGCTGCTCTCCAGGGCTGGGAGAGGCTGGTTGCTGTGGTTTTAAGGCCCCTGACTTGGGGGTCATTTGTTATGCTGCCCCAGGAAGTTAACACATACATGCCCTTCTCTCCCCGTTTGAAGGGGAGCAGACATGGCTCCATCCATGGAGTGGGTCACCAGCGCTGCTGATGGTGAGCCTACTGGCATTGGGTCAGCTCAGCAGCTGACGAAGTAACGGTGACAGCTAGGGGTCTCAGGCATTTTTAGGGCTGTGTGCCATCAGGGACAGATGGACTGAGTAGAACACCAGAAAGCGCCCATAAGCTTTGTCATCCCATTCGTTAGGCTAATGGGATTTTCTGGAGTGATCCGTCTCTGGCTCACTGCTGGCCTCCTGCAAGCACCTTCTGGTAGTGGCCTTGAGCAGCTGGCCGTCCCCCGCTTGCTAACAGACCCACACTCCGTGAAGCTAGGAGATCGGGGGGCCCTCCAAGCCAGCCTGTTGTGCAGAAACGAAAGTTCCCCAGAAGAAGAGGCCCACCGGCTCCTGACCGAATACTCAAAACGGCTTCCGGGTCTCCCAGGTAGGAAGCTGACGAGAACAGTACATCGGACATGCTTGGATGGCACAGGACGGAGCCCAGGAATGGGGACAGCCTTGGGCACTTGGGGCACGGGGTCAACTGACACCCAGCATCTCAGAACAATGTTTTAAAAGCTTACAATAAAACAATACAAAGCAGACAAAGTTTATGCAAAGATAAGAATTAAAGCAGTGAAAACATTTTCTGGTAGAGCAATAACCTACTAACACACTAAGAGCCAGGTGGTGCGTTTATATTAGGAGCAAAGTCGATGTCCTGTTCCACATTGTAAAGATACATCAGGGTGCAAACATTTGCTCAAACCTCTAGTCTCAGTCTTGGTGGGGGGGGTGTATAGCCAGAAACGGAATTTCTGGTTCCCGTGGTCATTCCGTGTTTGATGTTTTGAAGCCCGTCCATCCCGTTTCCCGTTAGCAGGATAGGTTCTCGGAAGGTGCATTCCAAGGTCTTTCTGCTGGCGCTGCGTGTGCGTGCGTGTGCTTCTCTCTCGGAGGTGTTTTTTGCCGCCTGTGAGCTGGGGGTGTTCGACCTGCTCCCCAAGGCCCCGGATGGCTCAGCTGTGATGGCTGCACGTCTGGGCCCTGGCTCCCACAGGACGGAGCTTCTATTGGACGCCTGTGCGTCCCTGAAGCTGTACCAAGTGGAAACACGGAGAGGAGAAGGTAAGCGTTGTTTGGCATTTTGCAGGAGGCGTTTGAAGTTTGCACTCAGCTGCCATTTCTGCAAAGGGCCAGAGAGTCAGTGTTTGCAGAATGTGGGCCATGTGGTCTTAGCAGCAGCTGCTCTGGGGGCCTTGGAGCTCGGAGACCTGATGTAAATGAGTGTGCATGCTTGGGTTCCTATAAAACTTCATTTACAGAGACAAGTGTTGGGCCGGAGTTGGCACCTGGGCTGCAGCATGCTGACCCCGGTTCTAGGGATTTTCACGTGCTGCTGTGCACACGGACGCTATGAACCAGTCCCCGTAGGGAAAACAGGCAGGGGAGTCATTTTCCCATTAAGCCAAATTTGTCCAACGGAAGGGCTGCCGTTCATTTTGAGATTATACTGCGATGTGGGTGTTGAAGTGGCTTTTCTCCTACGAAGTAGGGTGATGTTAGCTTTTCTTTTCTCTGAAATGTCCTTACTTTATGAAATTTAAATTGTGAGTGCTGTGATGATGGATCGGGGTGTGCTTAGAATTTTGTAGTCCTGGGGAATGGCAAAGTCCAGAGACAGTGCACCAAGAGGGGGAGTGTATGCCCGGCATGACAGGGGCAGGTGTGCCACATCCAGGCAGAGGCTTCCGGAGCCAGCGGCCGGCTCACTGTCACTGACCCTGATGTTTCTCCTCGGTGGCTCCCCACTGGGTCTGGAGCCTTCCGTTCTTTCTGATGCCCAGCCCGGGTGAGGGGACAGGCAGGTGTCCAGGCCGGGAGGCCCTGGGATGCTCGGCTTGGAGGCAGATGACTGGAGAGGATCCGGTTCGTTCTGTGAGCTCTGCCTCTGGGGCCCCAGGGAGTGGCCCTGATTGTTCAGAGATGACAGCAGGCCTCCTTTACCTGTCCTAGGAGGGACGGTCCACTCCAGGCACAGGACTGCAGTGGAATCCCCTGTGGAACAACGGGAGCTGTGGGCGCTGGTCCCGAGTGGGGAGGAAGGACATAGGCTTGGCGACTGGGGTGGCCATTTGGAGATGTGGCTTGGACTTGCCGAGGGGCATTCCTTGGTCAGGATGAGGCCCCCCAGGTGGGCGTGGGGGGGTGAAGGCTCCCAGCCCGGGCACCTGGTGTTGGGGGTCACGATGAATTACCCCAGGTGGGGGTGGAGGGGTGGGAGCCCCAGCCAGGATGCCTGCTGTTTGGGGTCAGGACAAGGCCCCCAGGTGGGTGTGGAGAGAACTCCCAGCCAGAGCACATGCTGTTGGGAGGTCTGCCCAGAAGGTCCCTCTCTGCTCACTCACTCGGGATAAGCCCCCAGCTGTGGGGAGTTGCTCACTGACCAGAACCACATTTCCATGGGGCTGGTGGCAGCGTCCACACGGCACAGATGTGCAGTCCGACGGGTCCTTTTCTGTTTTCGTCTGCTTTCAGGTTTGTATTCCAACACCGAGCTGTCCAGCACCTACCCGGCCAGGGCCAGCTGCACCTGCCAGTGCGCCGTGCTTCTGTCCATGGCGGGGACCACCTCCGGGTGCTGGAGCCACCTCATGGGTTGTAGGCTGTGCGGGCCGGCAGGCTCCCCGGGCTGCCTTCCGGGCCTCCGAGCACCCGGAGGGCCAGTTTTCCTGCAGAACCAGACCCGACATGGCTCCACTTGGGCCCCCAGGACCTGTTCTCCTTCCCCAGATGAATTTGCTCAGTGTACATATGTTCTGATAGGAAGTCCTGCGGGTCAGTGGTCTCCAGGGTACCAGGAGGTGCCAAAACGGCCTCCAGTTGAGAACCAATGCTCTACACTGTCCTTCTTAGTTATTTCAGCCCAACCACACCGTGAGCCGACAGTACGTCCACCGAGAAACACGGGGCCCAGTTTAATTTGAAAGGATACGATACAACACGTATTCATGTTTATAAGCATCATTTGACTTCATATTTATATTCCAAGATCCCATAGATGTGAGACACAGCCCGGAGCTGCCTGCTGGATCTCTGCCCGAGGGTGCAAGTCACAGAAGGCCCCCCGGATCTCTCGGGGCCTTGCTGGACCCTCAGGCAGGTCCTAGTGGCTTCAGAGCCTCACCCCAGGGGCAGAGAGACGGTACTGTCGGTGCGATGGAGAGGGTCGCCCTCCTACAGGCTCTGTCCTGGGCTTCTGCACAGGCTTCTGCATGTAACATCCGCACCCCTTGGACCGCAATGTGCTGATCTTTGAGATACTTCCAGAGATGAATCTGTGTGTGCAAAGAGCAAACACAGAAGGAATCGATAGTTTAAAAAACCAGAGTTTGTGGTTCTACTCATGTCAATCCTCCCTCCGGGTGATGACGTGCAAACCCAACATTTGAGTACAAGGTGAGGTGCAGTTTGCAATCCGGCCGGTTGCCTGGGTAATGGGTCAGGTGGTCGCTCCCCTCTCCATGCATGCACAGAGATCTGGGGGTGCCTGGAGCTCTGCCATGAAAGTCCCGAGGTGGTGAGGAATCAAGGGCTATTGTCAGAGTTTCCATCTGGCTGCGGGCTGGTGTAGCGAGAGAATAAGGACGGGGGCGGTGTTTCTGGGGCTGCTCGGTGCTCCCCACCTTCCCTTCCAGTGGAAATGGGCTTCCAGAGGAGGACGACGCCTTCCAACCATGCGCCACGGCTCCCGCAGCTGGGCGCACGCTGGGGGCTGACCGAGGGGCCCACCATCCCAGGTAGGTCCCACTTCGCAAGCCTTACAGGAGCGCCCGTGGGACACAGCTCTTGGCTCGGCAGGGGGTGACCTTTGTGATGGTTTCTGACAGCCTCTCTGGGTTTTCATGGTTTTGACAGGCGTACTTTCACACACCAGGTTGGAGGGCGAGTGGCTGCAGTACAAAGTGCATGTGAGACCTGCAGGAGGCCTGGAGCGTCCATGGGAGATGTGTGCTCACCGCCTCTGACCCGTCACTGTTGCGTGTCATCTGTGACCTCGGGGGTGAGCAGGTGCCCCTAGACTTTGCTGCTGGGCTTCCAAGCATATTAATCCTTGTTTCAATAGTGCCCTGTAAGCAAGTGAAGGTAGAAAATGGAAATCCCACGTGGGGTGGTGGAGAAGGGCTTCCTTCCACACCTCCCCATATGCAGCCAACTAGCAAAGGCACAGAGGAGGGAGTGGGTGGGTGGAGCGGTGGTTCTCCAGGTCCCTGGGGGCACCTGCCGAGACTCAGTTATTGGGTCCCCACCCTCTGAAGATCGGACCAGGGCATCTGGGTGGAATGGAGCCTGCGTTTCTGACACGCACACAGGGATGGTGGTGGCATCTGCAGGTGTCCTTGGGGCACAGTTACCCTGAAGTTTCCTTTACCTTTGTGACATGCCCATGCCAGCTGGGGTCTGGGTCTTTGCTCCATCACC